AGGGCTTTCTCTGCGGTGGCGCCCAATCTATGGAATGCGCTCCCCAGAGAGGTCTGCCTGGCGCCGAAAAACAAATAACGGTGCCAGGCGGACCTTTTTATTCCAACGTTATTTTAATTGTTAATATTATTTATTTATTTTATTCTTTGGCCAGGGAGACTTAAATTTTACTGTTATACTGCTAAATTATATTGTTTTATGTTATTTATTTATGATTGTGAGCCTCCCTGAGGCTTCGGCGAATGGGGCAGCATAGAAGTCCTCTAAATAAATAAATATTGTGACAAGAGGATAGAATTTTAATGTCATTGTGGCCAAAGCAGAGAGATCCTGTTCCCTCTTAATTGGAAAAAAAAAAAAACCCATGTCCAAGCAAGTTAACTTGAGGTGAAGCATTTTTATGTTGCTTGTTTTTCTAAGAAAATGGTTTGATACAACTTTTAATTGTTTATACTATATTTGATTGTCTTTGTTTTATTTTTTGATGTATATATGTCATTTTGTGCATTTTGAGTTATGCTTTTAGAATAAGGAAAGAAAACTTGTTTTCCAAAACACATTTGGCCTTAGTAAATGTAGGCACTTCTGAGAATTGTTTCTCCTCTGGTTGTTTCTTCCCTCATGGTTTTTGATGGTAAATATACAAGCACACAGAGGCAGCCCTTCTTTTTTAAAAAATTAAAAATCTACCCTTCCATACTAATCAGCATTGTTCATCACATTATGAGGAAAGGAACGTTCATGCTCTAGGACAGAGGTCCTCAAACTTTTTAAACAGGGGGCCAGTTCACTGTCCCTCAGACTGCTGCAGGGGGTGGACTATAGTTTGAACAAATATGAATGAATTTCTATGCACACTGCATGTTAAGGAATTAAAATAAAAATAAAATTAAAATGAATTAAAAATAATTTTAAAATGTTTGCTCCATTCACTTGGGCTGCAGCAGAAGCCCAAGATGACGCTGTGCCACCCGCCGAACGGGAGAGCACGACATGAAGGGGAGCCATGAGGGCGCACTTGCCTTGGTCAAGGCCTTCCCAGCTCCTCGCCGCCACCCCGCTTCCAAGCCAGAGGAAGGTCCCCTCACAGGTGCTTGCCTGGCTCCGGGAGGGGGAGTGGGAGTGGGAGGCTGGAGAGGCGAGCGAAGGGTGTCAGAAAATCCCAGAATTTCAATTCGTGAGGAGGAAATAAAACTCGGGTTCATGGGAAAGATCAAGAGTCCAGACCATCTGTGGCTTTATTGTTTGGCCCAGGTTCCCTGCGGGTCCGTACTCACAATAATGCATTACTGGGCAGGCAGAGGTGAACTCGCTGCAAAACTTCAATACAACTACAGGGTATTTTTATACCCTGCTGGTCACATACACAGGTACAGGGCAATTGATGACAGAATGCAGACATTACAATAAGATTCTGAGGTCATCACATACAGAACAGATAAAGGAATGTCAGTCAATCATACAGAGACAATGAGATTACAATATTTCTAATTGCAGTGTATTGACACTTTAGTTCAGTAACTTGAACCCATCTCCAGGTCTGCTTAGACATGTAAATTCAAGCTACTGAGAAACTATTCATGAACTCATAAGCTTATCTAGACTCAGACCGTAAGTAATGCACCATTCTGAATGGCCAGGGCACATGAAGCCTTCTGGGCTAGCAAAAGATACTTCCTGGTAAACTCTGAATTCCAATGCCATTTTAAACAGTGACTTAGCTTGGTTTGAGGAGTAGTACAGGATTGATTCCACAATGCAAAAGCACACAGAAGCAATGTTTTTCTGACAGGATTTATCCAAATTTTCCCAACAGGGGCAGCTCCCCCGGCTGGGAGAGGGCCGCGAGGATGGAGGTAAGGGCTGCTTTCTGAGGCAAGGGGAGGTGAGGGACAGGGCCGTGGATGGCCGAGCAGGGTGCCTCCCGCCTCTCCCTGCCACAGGGGTAGCATGGCAGCAGCTCGACGTGGCTCTCATAATTAAAAATAGAATTAAAAAGTTATATTTTTCTTACCTTCAATCGTTTTTGTCTCTCCCGCCCTCCTCTCTTCTGTTTCCCTTTCCGTATTCCCGCTCTGTATTCAGAGACAATGCATGTGTGCAATGGGGGCTGGGGGTGGGGGGAGAGCTAAATTGTAACAGCTCCCTGCAACTGTGCATGTGCCGGCTCTCTGCTCAGTTCCAGAGAAAGCCTGTGCTGGCTCAGAGCTTTCAGACTCGCTTGGAGATCGCGAGTCCAAAAGCTCTGAGGCAGGCTGGGTAAATGACCATGGCAGGCCGTATCCAGCATGCAGGCTGTAGTTTGAGGACCCGTGCTCTAGGGAGGAGGGCAGCAGCTTCTTAGCCTCTTGTCTAAGGACCTCTCCTGCCCTGCCCCACACATATAACCATGAAGGAACTCCTGAACCTAGCTCACTGTGAGCCTTCCTAATTGCATTTTGGCTGCAGACAAATGGAAGTGCCACGGAACATGTAAAACACGTTTTCCTTTGGCACCGCACAGTCACATCCAACCACAAACCATTAAGTGAAGGGGCTTCCCAGGAGAGGCTGTAGCTTGTTGGGAGCATCTAATTCCATGGATTTATATATCTGTCTCTAGATTGCACCAAAGATATCTGCTGAAAGAATCATAAAACGTTAAAGTTGGAATGGATCTTGGAAGCCATCTAGTCCTCCCCCTTGCTTCACCAAGGAATCTTTGTGTGAGTAGAAGATCACAGCCTGTATGTGTGCATAGCAGTAAGGGAAATGGCAGTGGGGGTGCCGCCACCACCCTTGGTGAAGGCTTTACCCTGCTCATTCTTAATGCTAGAGCAGCGTGTCACTGCTGTTCATGCCAGGAAACTCCTGCAACGCCTCTGATAAATTTCATTTTCTGGGAATTCCTGCTAGAGAGTTCCTGGCATCACTAAAAAAATTGCATCCTCTTCAGTTGAAGCAAAGTTGGTGGGGAGGAGGAAGTAACATGAGGAAATCAGTCATGATTGGCTAGTATAAGCACAGAAAAAACATTTTAAGGAGTCACATCCCATGTTGAATGCACAGAGCTAGGAAGGAGGAGAAATACAAATAACCAGAGGATGGCAGGAGGCCTCGTCTCCTTCTGGCCACCTGCAGCTCTCAGGCTCTTTCTGGTGGTGTCCCTGCTCTTCTCTTCCCCAGCGAAGACCCTCAACCTCCAAGCGAGCAATCCCACAGTGTATTCTGAAGCCAATGGAAGTTATTTTGGATTTGCCCTGGATTTCTACCGGGACAAGAATGGCAGGTAAGACCGTATTGTGTATGGGGATTGGGATGGTGCCACATCAGGACACTCCACTGCAGAAGATGGGAACAGGCAATTTGGGACAACAAAGACCTGTCTCTTGGAAATGGCAAGCGAGATGCCACAGAAACAGGGCTATCAAGTCCCCGTTTTCACATGGATATATGCCTGATCCTGTATGCATCTTTAAGCATGCAGCTCCCAAGAGATCTTCAGTGTGGTATAGTGGTTAAGAGTGCAGAACTGGGACTCAGGAGTTCTGGGTTCTGGTCCCCAGCCACCCATGAAGCCCACTGGGTGATTTTGGGCCAGTCACTGCCTCTCAACCCAACTTACTCACAGGGTTGTAAGGACAGAATAGAGAAAAGCAGAACCACACAAGCTGGCTTGGGTTCTTTGCTAGAGGAGCAAAAGTAGGATGTAAATGCAATCCAGTGGTGATCTTTTAACACTGAGCATTATGTGTCCTAAAGATTGGCACCTTAAGGAATATGCTTGCTTAACCAAGAAGCAAGTATAAGGAAACGCAGATTTCCTTACATGGAGGCAACAAACAAAACCACTTTCAAATATAAACAGATGGAATCTGAGCTACTTCTATTTGACCAAGAAAGGGCTGACCCAGTGTGTCACTACTATTAAAAAGGAAAGCACCATACTAAGAATAATTAGGGAAGAAATTAAATATAAAACTGTTAGAATCAGACTTTCCTTGTACAAATCTGTGGTGCTCAGTGCTTAAAATACTGTGTACAGTTCTGGTGGCCACACCTAAAAAAGCATATCACAGTGTTGGAAAAAGTGCAGAAAAGAGCAAATAGAATGATCCAGGGGTTGGAGTATGGAGAATGGTTATAATGGTTGAGATAGTTAAGCTTTAAAAACAATTAAGGGCAGACATGATTGAGGAGTACAAAACTATGCATGGTACAGAGAAAGTAAATTGGGAGACACTATCGTCCCTTTCCCAGAGGGAGACTATGGCATTTGTTTCCACAAGGTAAAATGATGGCCACCCATTAGGATCACTTTACAAACAGACTGGACCAATTCATAGAGGAGAAAACTATTAATGGCTACTAGTCCTCATGGCTATATGCTATCCCCAGTATCAGAAGCAGTGTACCTGTGTGTGCCACTTGCTGGGGAACTTGGGCAGGAGGGAGCTGTTGCACTCGTATCAGACCCCTGATGCTTAATGCAAAAAGGGTGGCAGTGTTGAGGGAACCATCCAGTACTGGTTGAATTATCCTTAGGGAACGAAGGGGGAAATTCAGTAGGAATTGGGAGAAAATAAACATGATGAAATAGTGCAGCTACTCAAAGAAGCCTAGAGGCCTCAAAAGAAAATGCATATGCCAGAGATAACTTAAGAGAGACATGCATGTACAGAGCACCATCTGTGCCCATGCTAAGATGGGAGAGTTGGGGTGCTTGGCTTCAAGGGAGTATATAGATCCAGTAAACTTAACAGAGACTTGGTGGGATCTTGTAATACATTTGGTTTCTTTTTCCTAGGTGCAAAACTTGACATTTGTCTCTAATGAATTTCATTTTGTTGCTTTCAGCCCAGTGCTACAACTTATCAAGATCACGTTGAACTTTATTTCTGTCTTCCAGGGTATTAACTATCCCACACAGTTTTGTGTCATCAGCGAATTTGATAATTGTGTCCTGCACTTCTTCATCCAAATCATTAATTAAAATGTTGAAGAGCTCTGGGCCCAGGACTAACCCTGTGGTACCCCACTCATTATTACTCCTCAGTTTGAGAAGGTGCCACTGATGAGCACTCTTTGAGATTGATTCTGCAGCCAACTGTGGATCCACCTGGGAGTTGTTCCACTATCCCACATTTAGCTAGTCTGCTAATCAGGATATTTCAGCCTGTCCTGGATGGGTTCATGCAGCCATTGAAGGGACAGATTCATGGATGGGGGACAGAGGTCCATGACTCATTTTTGTCACTTGAAGCCGGGTGGCCTCCGTGAAACAGAGTGTCTTCTGCCAGCTTCAGCCCCTGCTCTGCCCCTATCCACACAGGAACAGTCTCCTTTCTGCAGTCTGCACTATGGGACTCTCTAAGCTAGACTACCACAATGCATTCTATCTGGGGCTGTCCTTGAAGGCTGTTTAGAAGCTGCAGCTTATGCAAAGTGCGGCAGCCCAATTAATAAGAGGGACCAGAAGATCTGAACCCATAGCAGCAATTCTGGCCTACTTGCCTTGGCTGCCCGTATGCTTCCAAGCCAATTCAAGGTGCTGCTTTTAATCTAATCAAGCCGTACACTGCTTGGGACCACAGTACCCAATGGAATGCCTCTCCCAACCTCAGACTACCATACGCTGGGATCATGATCTGGGGCTGCCTCTGGGCCGCCCCAAGGGAAGCTCAGCTAATGGCCACAAGAACGGCCTTGTCTCCTTGTGAGTGGGACAAGCGGCAACTGAGGCCCTCCTGGTAGCAACTGGGATATGTTTTCAGAGCTTACTAACGAGTTTACTAATCTATTGGGATTTATGGCAACTCCAGGCCTGTGACTTTATTTGAGCAAGCTATTGTAGCTGTTTAAATTTGTTTTTCAGTTTGGCTTTTAAATACTGTATTGTTTTTTGTAAAAAAGGATACTTTACGTTACTTCCTATTTTGAATTGTATTTCTATAGTATTTTATCTGCCATTGTGAACTACCCAGAAAGCTGCGGCTATTGGGTGATACAGAAATATAATTAATGTTCATCATTATTATCATCTTGAATTCAGTGGGAGCTTCCACTTCACTTACTATAGACAGGGTTAAAATATTTTATTGTTTATCTGTATTATTTATTACCATTGTTTTGTATCTTTAAAATTAATGCACTCTATGGGGGGTTGCCCTTGAATGCTGTTCAGAAGCTGCAGCTTGTGTGAAACGCAGCAGCCAGGCTAATAAGAGAGACCGGAAGGTCTGAATTCTGGCCTGCTTGCCTAGGCTGCCTGTATCTTTCTGAGCACAATTCAAGGTGCTGGTTTTAACCTATAAAGTCCTACACAGCCTGGGGCCGCAATGCCTGACAGAATTACTTTCCCAATCACCATTTACCGGGATACTACAGACAACCTCTGGGTCTGTCTCTGACTGTCAACTCCAAGGGAGGCTCAGTTGGTGGCAACTAGAAGAAGGGGCTTTTCAGTGGTGGCCCCCAATTATGGAACAATTATGGAACACACTGGTGCCAACCTCATTATATTTTCGGCTCCAGGTTAAGATTGTCCTCTACTTCAGGGCATTTAATTAATTTACTGGGGCTTTGTTAGTTGTTTAATCAGATTCAATCAGGTTTCAGTGATTAGGATTTTATATGCATTTGAAATGTGGTTTTAAAATTTTGTATGGGAACTTTTTCCCTAACGTTTTATAATGTGGTATATTTTAGATTGTATTTTAATGGATTTTTGTAAACTGTTGTGAGAGCTTTGGCAACTGGGGATGATATAGAAGTTTAAAAAAATATTTTAAATTCTCCTAATAATTCTCAAGCTTGCATATGCGCACAACCAAGTTGTTCATCATGGCACTAAATCTCTTTCTGTCCATGAAAGCTTTTGTTCTCCTGGAACCATTCACCAATTTTTCTGTGTGCCCTTTGTTAATAAAATCGGCCTTTACTTTAGATAATGGCATAATTATGCATGAACATATGCTACATTTAAAATGAAATTGTGTTTGCAAATGAGTCAAATGTGCAAGGTGCATGTTTCTGGAAGACCTGTTTTTATTTTAAATGAGATGTATTGTTTGACATTCCACATCATTCCCGGGTCTTAGATTCAAACAGAGACATTCCTAAAAATATCGAGACCTGTGACAGAAAATACATACTGTATTTCCTCCTTCATAATAAAATATAAAAAAACAAAATAACCATTATTTATTTATTTAATGTTTTTGCAGACTGTTCTATAGCAAATGCTCTCAGAATGGTTAACAGATTACAGCATAAAACATTATTACAACAAGATATCCATAGTAATAACTGCAATTCAAATCATAGCAACAGCAGGAAAAAATAAAATAATAACACACACTAATCCACAGCAATCAATCAATCATCATCTGAGCAAAAGCCAATATATAATAATAATCTATCCAATAATTGAAATAAAAGGAGAATTAAAAGGTTTCAACCTGATGCCAAAAAGTGTACACTATCAACACCAGGTACACCTTCCTGGGAAGTTGGTTCCATAGCCAGGGTGCCACAACTGAGAAGGCCCTTCCCCTCGTAGCCTCCTTCCTTCCTTCCTTCCTTCCTTCTTTTAATGGTGGGTCACACAGAAAGACCTCTGTAGATGATCTTTGGGTCTGGGTCTGATGGGAGGAGGCATTCCTTTAGATATCCAGGCCCTAAGCTGTTTTGAATAGTTCCCCAAACTTGTAAAAGTCCAGAAATCATGCTGAGGCTGAGTTGTGGGCAGTTATCAGAGTGCAGCTGGATACAGGAGATGCATTAGGAATATTCATCCTGTTTGACTGGATGTCGCAACAAAGCAAAAATCTTTCCCCTCCCCACCACCAGAAGCCCCGTCTATCCAGAACTGTGGCATCTCCATGGCCAGGTGTAGGCAGTCTTCATTTGACAACTGACCCTGCTTTTCCCTCTAGGATGAATGTGGTTGTGGGGGCACCCCGAGCCAACACCTCACAGCCTCTTGTGACTGAGGCAGGGTCCGTCTACCTGTGCCCCTGGGTGGCCAGTGGCAGCAAGTGCACTCCCCTTTTGTTTGACACCCTTGGTGAGTGCTTTTCATTATTTCTCGGTCTCATTCGTCCAGTCTGGCAGCGAGGGCCAGCCTTACTCCCAGGATCAATCAGACAGGGATGTGTGAGCCATTCCAAAAATCATGCTAACATGCAAGCTGCACGCACCTGATCTCTGCACACGTGGATGTGCTTAATCGCTGCAATTATATCCCTGCTTTAAAAGACACGTGTAGGAACTGTGACTGCATTGGAATGGTCAATGTTCATGTATTCTTGCCACACACCTCATCAGATACAGGGTGTCAGGGCAAAATGAGTGAAAGCTCTGCCATAATATGGCTGCTAAAAGCCTGGCACAGTAAGAACAGCTTTAGACTTAAGATGGGATTCCTGACCTGATCAGGAATCTATGCTGCAAGTCTTGCTTGCAGTGTACCTTAGATATGCTGATGGCCCATCCTGAAAGGCCTGCCTTTTGGGGCACATCTTAGACATGCCAATGTCTGCCTTTCTGTATTGTGATGCCCCAAGCCCATTCAATCTCTTTTGTTTTACTCTAATGTGCCTGCAAACTGTGTACGTGATCCCACTTCCTGTTAGTTACTATATGTAGTTACTAACAGGCAGTAAAAGCATCTTATACAGACTATCTTTGTAGTCCCTTTGGGGACTGCCAACGTGCTGCATTCATTTCCTGTATGCCTGAACACACTGTGAATGTTCTTTTGATTGTACACCCCCAGCAGACTCTCTTTGGGTGGCTTTTTTCCACTCCTCCCAAAGGAAACCCCAATGACCATGCATGCTTGGCCATACCATATAGATATGGTGTCACTAGACATCACAAGGAAATGGAAAATTTAAGGAGCAAGCTGGCAAGGCTTTGAGATGGGGAAATTTGTGTGTGTGGGATGGAGGGGAGGGATATCTTTAAGTGAGCCAAAAGCTCAAGTGAATGGGGAAAATGCTGGGCAAAGGGAAAAATAGGGAAAAGACACATTCCTACAGAGGGTGGGTGAACTTTGGATTGAGTCCTGTAATGAAGCAGGCTTGAGAGAAAGGTTTTGGTCATGCATGGTATTCAGTCTCCATGCTCTGAAGCAAAGTTAGATGGATTGAGGGAAACATCTTTTATGAGTCTGTAATGTCTGCCTTCTTATTCTTATTTACTTGGTTATTGCTTCTTCTATTCAACCATCATTAACCAGGTGATCAAACAGAAAAACTTGGTCCGATTACTATGAAAACCTTTAAGTCAAAACAATGGCTCGGAGCATCTGTGAACACCTGGAAAGACACTATCATGGTGGGTATCAGAAACTAATCATGTCCAAAAGCTCAGAAGTAGAGGGCAAAATAAAATTCAGCGCCAATTGGAAGGTTGGCTAAAAGTCACTGATTTTCCTCTTTAATTAGATACATTTGTGTTTGTGCCATTTTTCTTTTGACTTGGTGTGGTGGGGGGTATTTAAACAAAATGCAAACTTGGTCCAAGGATGGGTTGTAGGGGAGAGAAAACTTTTACTTGGCTTCAGGGATGTTGCCAGCACAAAGGACAATGGTAACCATACACAGGAGAGTTGAATTAATGCCTGTTTTGTACCAGAGGATTGATTGGGGCTTTTTCTTCAAATCAGCTGAAGCAATCCCCAGACCTACCAAACCAGTGCTATCCATGACTGGGAAATGGACATTTTGGACACAGCTTCTGCTTGCAAGAGTTTGCTTGGGGATATTTTCCCATCATTTGCACTAATGTTTACTGAGAATAGTTGGAAAGATGACCCACATATTATTTTATTTATTTAAGACATTTGTATGCTGTCCTTTGTGAGAGCCTCAGGACGGCTTACACGAATAAAATTCCAAAATGCATAACAATATAATATTATAAATAACATAAAAACATTCCACAATATATCTTCACTTAATAAAAAAGTAAAAAATATAAATGCAATTGTATACAAATTAATACTTTGTATTAATAAAATAGTATTAGTTGTTAAAATGAAGGTTAAATAAACAGGTCTTCACCTGGTGCCAAAAAGAGTTGGTTCCAGGCAGTCCTCTCTGGGCAGCATGTTCCATAGTCTGGGTGCCACTGCAGAGAAGGCACCCAGGCTATGAGCTGTCCAGACTTGCATTGAAACTCGCTTGTACAGTTCCCACATATATCCATAGGTTTACTTAGGGGAACTCACCAAAGGGTTCCTTGCACCATTGCCTGGCTTGTTCCAGTTAAAATCTGCAGTCCCTGCATGCTTTGTATGTTCCCAGCTTTGAGATTTGAGGGGGAGACAATGTAAACCTCTGTTCTAACAGCAGCAAAAGCTGTCTATGGGTATTCATAACCGATTAACATGAATACAAGGAGAGCAAATCAGAGTTGTGCCCATTGGCATTGCTCCCAACCTCCTACTGTTCACCTCCTGTTTGAACTCCACTGCAATATGGACCGTGCAAAGATGATGTGTACAAAACTGAAAAGCCCACATGCAGTATGTACAGTGTGAACATGGTGGGTACAGATTGCTTGAGGGTTCTACATCGTTCTGGCCATCCATGGGTGCATGTGCAGCCCCCTGTAGAAAATGGGGCCTTGGAAAGAAAGGTGTGCACAAGGTTATTTTTATTTTCTTTTAAAGAATTGACCTATGAGTTTGGCTTGACAATATTGCTCTGCCACTACTGAGATCTCTGATTTGCACCTCACCCAGATCCATATCTAATTATTTTGCTCTGCAATGTCTGTGTATCCTGAAAGTTTTGGGATTGTTAATGATACAGCATCTTCCCCGACATTTTTATCCTGCCAGACTTGTGCCCCTTTCCAACACTGGAATTACATTAGTGGCACAAAGGAGGCCACAAAGACCCCTGTTGGCAGCTGTTTCTTGGCCACAGAAGGCCTGCAGCATTTCAGTGAATATTCCCCATGCCGTGACAACAAGATACATTCAGTTTACATTTCAACATTATTTGGTGAGTACAGTATGTATGAGGTGGCAAAAGGAAGAACAGTGAAAAGCCATGGGCCAGGCCTCACAGCCTTTGCCTTGGAAAAGCTGATGAATTACACTTCACTTCAGCTTTCTGGGTTACCAAGCCTGCTTGCATGCTGCACCTGATTTATGCAACTTGATTCTGAGCAGTTTTCTGCTTGCTGTTACATGTTTGACCACAATATTGAACTAGATGGACAGGTGGTCTGACTTGGCACTCTATGATCCTAAAGGAACAGCTAAATTATTTCCCATTTTGATATTAAATGTTTAAGTAATAATAATATTAAACTTTGGGTTTTTAAAATAGCTTTAAAATGCATAGGAGAGAAGCATTTTGGAATCTGGTTCAGAGCATTAGACATGAAATTTGGTTGGCTTATGGATATTCCATTATCTCTGTAAGAAAAACCCACCCTCTTATAATCAATAAATTTGTTTTCTTGTTTGTTTCCTTTCAATCAGTAAATGACAGACGCTACTGTGAAATTGGATTCAGCCTTGCCATCTCTGATGTGAGTTTTGCAGGACAGCAGGGTAGTGATAAACATAGATGCTTTACAGGATCCAACAACCCATAGATACAGTGGTGCAGTGAGCTCATTGTAGATCCAGGGACACACAATTAAGATTCTCTCTTCCTCGCCTTCTACCTTTCCATGCTTTCCATGTGCTTCTGCGTTCAGTTCACTTGAACCATAGCATCATCATGACTAAAGGAATAAAAAATCCTTTTATTTAGTTTGCTCTTGGGGCACTAATGACCTCATTACCTTTGGCTTACCTTTGGCTTTTTAGTTATGGAAGGGTTCATTCCAGGGCCCTGGATTTTAGCACAAGCAGCACCACTGCCTGGCTTGTATGAGCATGTGGAAGTAAGCAAGCTAGCTAGTTTCTCCCATTTTCTTTCAAAGCAGCCCTCTAAAGCCTTAGTTAGAAGTATTATAACCTCACAATTATTAATTATAAAATCACAATGTCAGAGTTTTCTTGCTCATGTGTCTGGGTCAGCAATATGTGTCTTTGTAAACACACATTTGTGTGTTTGGGGGTTAGGCAATCCCCAAACACTCATCCAGACTATTCAGTCATTCGAAACCAAATTAGCACCTTTAGTTTGCAGTGTCATCTCTTGTTAGCAAAATTATTTACAGCTTGCAGTGCCAGGTTAACACCTTCACTACTGAATGTTAGTGCCAATGTAGTCACCATTGGAAGATCCAAGAGAATGCAGAGAAAAAAACAGCTGTTAAAGGGATGGTGTGGGCTGTTGTAGCTCAGGGGTAACTGTTTCTAGATATCGAATAGCTTGGTTATTCAACACATACCCAAAAAGGTTGTGGCTTTCCTTGGAGCAAGCGCTGGACAAATGGTGGCAACAGCGTTGGTGTTACGCAAAAGTCGTCTCTGAGTATTCAGAGCAAATGATGCATATTTAATTAAGGCAGATAGAGGCCGGTGTTTGCTTTCCCATTATTGTAAAGGTGTGTGTGAAACTGGCACACTACTTCCCGAGGCTCTTTGTGGTTGTAATGTCCATGCAACTGCTCGTCTTCTGCACCTGCAGCTTAGTTTTGTTTGCCTTGACCTCATCCCTTCTCCCCACAGACTGGAAGAGTGCTGCTTGGGGCACCTGGTGGTTATTATTTTGGAGGTAAGTGACTTGCCCAACAGACCACAAACACCAACAATGTGGCCACGCCTGGAATAGTGCACAGTGTGGACAGTTCTCTCGCTGCACCTCTAAGAAGAGCTAAAAGTAGTGTGGGAATGAACAACCTAAGTCATCAAGGGGCAGGAGTCACTCCTCTGTAAGGAAAGGTTACACTATTAGAGGCTGTTAAGTTTAGAAAACTGTTAAGAGGCTGGTTGAGGTGTATAAAATTATGCATGATGTGGAGAAAGTGGGGAGAAAGTAGTCTCCCTGCAACTTCTCATGATACTAGTCCCTGGGGATCATCCCATGGAGCTGATCGGTGAAAGAGTCAGCGATAAAAGGAAGTATTCATTCTAATGGAGTGTGGACAATATAATTTATTGCCGCAAGATTAGTGATGGCCACCAACTTGGATGGCTTTAAATGGGGATGAGACACATGCGAGGAGGAGCAGATTATCAGATGGCTACCAGTCCAGATGGCTAGGTGCCTCTGCCAGGACCGGGGGCAGCCTGCCTGCCGGTACCAGCTGCGGTAGGAGTGTGCTGTCTCAGCCGTGCCCTGCCTGTGGGCTTCCTAGACACACCTGGTGACCTGCTTCACGGGGGAGCAGAGGGGTGAAACTGAGAACCTTTGTTCAAATCCAGCACGGTCCTTCTGACGTTTTCAAATGTGTGGTGGGAAGGAAGCAGGGCGGGAAATGCAGTCAGTCTTTGCTGGCTGCAGTGGTTTCTCTGCAGGGAAGCCTGGTGAGTCCGGCAGAATTTGTGTTATCGTTACAAGGGCAGTCAATTGTTTGTCATTTCATTGTTTTTGCCATGGGGTAGGTGAGGTGAATATTTTACCTTTCCTCTTTTGCCTGTCTCTTCCCAACCGTCTTACCCTCGGGAACTGTTATCCTTGGGTTGCTTGCTTATTTATTTGTCTATTTATTGTACTCCTGTCCCTCCATTTTCTTCCAAGGGGCTCAGGATACCTTGCGTGATCCTCCTGCTCCTCCTCTCTACACTACACCAGGTTGTTTTTCTTCCAGGTCTGATCTATTCAGTCAATATGTCAGCAATCAGAGCAAGCTTTCCTCAGACCCCTACCCTTTTGTGGACAGTGCAACCGCAGCAAGTCACAAAAGATTCCATGTATTCCGATTATGAAGATACATACCAGGGTGAGCCTGCAAGCATCTTTCACAACCCTGGAGGAGCTAAGGGAGGGGCAACTTACCAGGAGTCTAAATGAGCAGGGCAATGGTTCACGAATGTAGGAAGGAAGTTAACCTATCCCTTTTAATTTTTGTTAAATGTTATTAATTTTACGAAGATCAGTGAAGAAAATACATATCATGTTTACTGCCAGAACTTGACAGACAAAATTTTAGGTGGAATCTCTTTGCTGCTTGGAGGTATTCTTTAGGGTTCATCATAACAGCAAATTATATTTAGACACTGTTCTGTAATCTAAGGAGAATCTTCCACAAATAGAGCCCCTGGCTTGCTTCCTCATGCCACCTTGATGCAGTTGTTCCCCTTCTCCAACTAGTGCTGGGAGACTAGGGGTGGGCAACCTGCAGCCCCAGAACCACATGGGGCCCTCTGCCTAATTTCAAAAGCTCTGTCCAAGCCAGGAATCCAGATCTCTGGCAAAAGCAATCTGTCCCTCTCCCAGCACCTTGTCTGCTGCCACCTTGCCCCACCTACCTCTGCCGTGTGCTCCCTGGCAGATCTCTCCTGAGGAAATGTGGCCCTGAATAGAAAAATGATTCCCCACTTTATTATGGGAGTATCTGTCCTGACTGCTAGGAAAAGTCATTCCTTTAGTTACTGCCCTATTTCAAGTGGCATCCAGATGGGAGAGAAAACAAATTCTGGGAAGCAAAAAATGTGCCTGCTTCAATCAGCTCCCTCCCAAACATTTTCATTTAATTTCATTTACATGTATAGTAAATACCCATGCATGCATTAATTCAGATGTATCTGCCACACTTGCAAAGCATCCACATTGCTCAGAGCAGATGCATCTTAAAGCTGAGATTCTCAAAATGCTGAATTCTACTTCCTTTGACTTTGTTCTGGCGTGTGTACACTGACCCTGAAACTCTTGAGGGCATGCACCACACATAAGGCAAAGGCATCAGTTGGGGTGGGTTAAGTAGTAGGGCCTGCTATGATAGGGCAATGGGGATGGAATAAGGTGGTCCAGGATGATTCCATGCAAAGGCCTTGAAAATGCAAATGCATGAGAATTCCCATGATGCTATGGTTGCTAAGCCTATTTATGACTGGTTTGCATTTGCAATGCAATCCTGAATTATCACTGTGAGTCCATTTGATTTCCAGGAAAGATGGAAGATATACTGAATAGTCGTCCTTGAAGTTAGCAGGTGTGTGCTTTACACCAAGGACATTCTGGCACTGAACCCTCCAATCATCCTTCTGCAGGGTATTCCGTGGCTTTCGGGGAATTTAATGAAGACCCTGAATCACCAGGTAAGGCAACACGTTCTTCAACTAGAGCAGTTATTTGAAGTGAGCACAGGCTTTGCAAGACCCTTGCTCTTTTAGCTCTTTAGCAACAATTGACTAAAGGAATGTGTGAGTAATCCAATAGGGGCATGAAAATTGGACAAATTTTCATGGTTCTGCCCCCCAGACTCATCTGTTAACTCTACACCAGTACCAGCTTGCCATGGTACAAGCTGAGCCAGCTCAGAGACTTCCATCTTTACAACAGGCTGCAATCTGCATTGCCAACTGCTAATGACATTTGCACAAATTAGGCCAAAACCATGTGGCTCTAGCACATGTGTCAAATCATCCCATACACATGTGTAACATTGCCTGCATTAACATTGGATGGTCCTGCCTGCTAACCTAGGTGGGAAGGAAAGGGCTAATGCCATAGACAAAAGGAGCTTGTCCCTTTTCTTTCCCACCTCACCTGGAAATGCAAAAGAGCCACATGACCTCCCCTCCCCCCATGAGAAAGGCAATGCTTTTCTTTCTCCTATCCTTCTAACCCAACATTGTCAGTTTTGTGCAAATTACAGTAGAGTCACATGGTTTTCAGGTGGTTATGTGTATAATTGGCTGATTTTGCACAAACAGCACTAGATTCATATGGTTTTTAGATGCTTATTGGACAAATTTCATTAGCACAAATGAAACAGAAGTCCACTTCTGATCACTGGTCACTGGATTGGAAGCAGGCAGGAAATCTGTCAAGTTCCAGTGAACCAGATTTCCCTAATTCACTACCTCTCTGTTAATTGTGTGCTATTTGTGCCATGAATTTGAGCTGTAACTTAGCCATGCACTGACTTTGTGACCTCTGCAACCCAGATCCCCTGTCTGTAAGACTGGAATACTAATTCTAACATATTTTGCAGGACTGCTGTATGTATGTATTATAGTTGTATCTACCTTTTTGCTTTAAGGAACTCAAGACTATTTCTATAACCCTACTCCTCCTTTCAATCTTATTCTCCCAACAACCCTGTGAGGTAGGTTAGGCTGAGATTAGGACAGGCCCAAAGTCACCCAGTAAGCTGTAAACTTAACAGCAAAAGGAATGTGCTATTGGTTGCTTGCAGCCAGGGGCAGGTAGTTTCAGCTCTTTCAGCAGTCCCATTCCTATAGGTGATGTTGTTGGGGTTGACTCTTCTCAGCCCCAGTATCTCAACACATGCAACAAACCCCAGCAGCTTGGGCCACCCTAGAGCTCAGCGCTAAGGTCTGGAGTGTGAAGAACTCATCCTATTGGGGGTTTCACAACCTGAAATGGATCTTCTGTTTGCAGAGTATGTGGTGGGTACCCCTAACAAGAGCCAAACACAAGGAGCGGTGAGTACAAGTACAAGAACTCGGGCAGAGGAGCTCCCATCTGCCTTTACTTGCACATCTAGAATGAGTAACGTAAAGTACTCAGCTTCAGATATAAAAGGTACAGAAGCGCAAGCCTGCATGGGCTCTCACACTTTCCAACTAATCCCAAACAAATTGGCATTGTCAGTGTAGGAGGATACTCTGAATGTGCTCAGAAGCCGTATTACCTGTATTACTAGCACGCATATTCTGGAGCTGGACCTTTGCATCAGTTACAGAAAGGGGTGCATTGGTATGGGAAAGGGATGGTTGCTATTCTGTGTATTTCAGTTTCCTGAGAAGTATGAGGAGCGGGATTAACACCAGGGATATTTTCTTACATTTCCCGACTCTTTGTCCTTGCAACCCATCATAGGTGGAAATTCTCAGCTGGAAGAATACCTTCCATATTCTGTGGACCATCCCCAGTGAGCAGGTAACAATCCTTTGAGCCCCCTGGGCCCCGCCTCTCCTTCCTCCCACCCTGCATTGCATGCATGCCACAGTAAGCCATGCTGAAAATGTCGCTGCTCACTTGCTGTGCTAAGCAGAGGATGAGGCATTCTGCGGTTTGCCATTCTTGGTTTCTCTCCTGACCCTCCTATCTACTCCTGGCATGCATCTCATGGGCCTTTGCAGCAGAGCCTCAGCATAGATCCTGATCATGAGTGCAATTGTACTCATTAGCAGAGTAGTTTACTTTGCATTTGTTTCCCACTTTTGGGAAGATTTGTTTTATTTTTGTTTTCAGAGGGATTTTCCTGAGCCTGGTGATATTGCAACTCCACATTTTCTTGATGACACAGATTACTTAGATTCATTTCAGTCTGGTTTGGAGTCCAGCCATGGGATGGAAACAACTTTTGCTGGGAACTAGATTGCGTTAATACACTCCTGTCAATCCTGTTGATCTCTCACTACCTTTCCATACCGATGGCTATGCTATATTTCTGGGCTGCCTGGCTGTAGTGTGACTAGAGAGCATGCTTTGCAGTGGTTTCAGTAATTCCTGATGGGGTGGATTTCGAAGGCAGTGCTGATGATCAACACCTTGCCCATTAGTCCATGACAGCTTTCCCCGAAGGATGGTTGGCATCATCCCTTTGAAGGGAAGAAGGAATCTGTTCCCACCTCTCTCCAGGGGAGGCAGTGGCTCAGTCATCTGCCAGCACCCCAAATCTTCATCACAGCTCAGTTTAGGGGACACTTGAGCCTCACAGATAAAAATGGGGGTGGCAGGAATAAGGATGCATACTGCTTCTTGCTATTCCAGTCCCCCAGTCTGAAACAAGACTCAGTAGCAAGCCACTTGGCCCAAAGGCACTGAAACTAGCACTGAAGTTAACTAGAAAAAGCTACACACCAAGATAGAAGTAATAAGGGGTTTATTTAAAAAAAATAGACAGGGAAAGGGAAAAGAGGAGTTGGAGAAAGTTACACAGAACCCTTAAGCATAGAAATGATCGACTACCTAACCTACCCTGTACATTATCAGAGCAAGGGGGTCCCCAGCAGGGCAATCGTCTCACCAGGACCTCATTTGCCACTGCAGCAGATTGGTTGGCATCACCAGATGGAGACAACTTGCTGAGTTACTTGGGCCTCTTTATCTTGCCCACCCCGACAACTGAGTAGGTCCCCTTTAGCCACTCAGGTGCTAACCACCACCTGGTATCACCTTTTGGAGGAAGGGCAGTTTTCCCATGGCAACTGCAACTCTAATTTACTGGGATCAATTCGTACAGCCAGGCCTTAAGCCCTTGAGTGGCTGCCGAACTCAAACTCATCCTGCTAAATTCCTGGCTCAGATCATCCAGCAAGATGTCCAAAGCGGCCTTCCTCCTGCAACGAGGGTAGCACCCAGGTTGAAATGGGTCTACACAATCCATCTCATCCAGAAGTCACCACAAACACCAGCCCAGGAATGCAATGCTCTATTCTGGTCTAAAATTACCCAATATGGTGGGATTCATGAAGGATTTTTTTTTTAAAACAAGTGCCTGCCTCTATTTAAGGCAAGATGAAATCACACCTTAACAAAAGGGATAAACTTTCTGCCTTAACCACTTGGCTTGTCTCTCTAGCACACAACTGGTAGGCATCATTTCTCCAAGGATCCAGTCCCTACATAGAAAAGTACGCATTATAATTAGACAAGCAGGGACCAGAGTTATAATCATTGGAAGTCTATTAACTGTGGCATCCAGGCTGGTGCAGGTAGGAGCAAAGTTGTCTGCAAAGTGTCTTGCAAATTGGTGGCAATAAGCTATTGAGGACCTGCCTATTTTCTTCTCATAAGCCAAAATACAATAGGCCTTGGGCCCCAGTTTAATTCAGATAAATAAATAATAAAACATTCTTATTACACCTTATTTTTTAAATTTCTTTCCTCGTGCAGATCGCATCATACTTTGGGCATACAGTTGCGGTTGCGGATGTCAATGGAGACGGGTAAGGCTAGGGCAGGGAGCACTGCAGTTGGCTCGGATTTCTGGAGCAGCTTTGCAGACAGTCCAAGCTTCAGTCTTGTCTTCCCCACCCAGCTTTAAGTATAGGGTTTGGGTTTTGTCCGCCTGTCCCTTGGGTTTGCATACACCCCTTATTTTTATGTAGGCATGCAAGAGGTGAGTATAGCGACATCAGCGGGAGGAAGCATGGAGGGGATACGGAATGGGGCACAGGACAGGGAGGAGCAACAGCAAAAGACTGTTGAAAGCCCCTTGAAATCTTTGATTTCGTCAGTAACAAAGTCCTTAAACTTTGTGCTAAGTTATGGAACAATGAAGGTGAAGAGGTGGAAATACTTTGGAAGAGAGTTGTTGCTGCCTTTATATGACATACCTGAGTTTTGTTTTATTGACTGCTTCTCATGAAGTGGCAAAACCAAAGAGGTTCCTTACATTTCAGGAAGACACATACATATACAGAGTAAACTCTGATTGCAATAATTGTCTGAATAAACTGTATTTTTAATATTCCAAACATGACCACTTTAGGCAAAAACATATACATGCTACATTTTACATTCCTAAAGTAACAAAATGACTTTCAATTTGTAAAGGATATTAATATAGCATTTTTTTCAATTTTTCCAATAATTTCCATTCTTTTCTGGAAGAAAAGGTTTTCTTCTGTAGCTTCAACATTTCCAGAAATTTTACATCTTTATATAAATTTAATGGTTAATTATTACTACTACTACTACTGCTTCTACTGTCCTGGTAACAGCTCTAAGAGAACTTCCTGCCTCTCTCTTGCACATCCAGGAAAGACGACATTCTTGTGGGGGCCCCTCTCTTTCTAGAGCGCCGGGCTGACCGCAAACTCTACGAAGTGGGAAGAGTTTACCTGTACCTGCAGCAAAAGACCCGCCATGCTTACAGCACTCCCTGGCAGACCCTGACAGGCACCGATGTCTATGGGCGATTTGGCATGGCCATTGCTCCTCTGGGTGACACGAACCAGGATGGATACACTGGTGGGGAAATATGAAAAGGAGGCCTCCTCAGTCCCTTCCAAACCAAGCTTCTTTTTCGTTCCCCACTCCCCCACCCAGTGCTGAAGAAATGACAAGCAGACCTTCATTACGTCATTGCCCAGAATCTGTTTCCAGTACTAGGTTCCACCCTTGGGAAAGGTAGGGTGATAAGAAGAGTGCACCTGAACACGTGAGGAGGCCCTTTCTTCTCTCACTGACACCATACTGTTCAGGGTTTGGTGGAGGGAGAAATGACTGCTGCACATGCTCAAATTCCCTCTATCTGTTCCAAGGTTAGGCTGAAGCATTTCTTGTGTTAACAAATCAAACTTAACAGAGGGCATCAGGTTGGACTTTTTCTGACCATGAAGAAGGGCAGTTCCCTGTTCCTTCTGACCACCAGCCCTTCCTTTCCCCAACTTGGTTAGATGCCAGCTCCCTTCCAGAGCTGAATGCAGGAGCAGCCAGGGAACTCTTGGTGCCATTCCCAGTCCTTGTCCTGCTCTTAGAAGCTTGTTCCTTTCAGTCTGACCCATCTGTGAATGGGAGACTGCCCTGCAGCTCCCCATCCCCATCCCCATGTAACAATGTTGATGGCTAAATGGATTATTCACCTCATTTAACATTACAATTTGCCTTCCTAGATATAGCCGTAGGAGCCCCTTTTGCTGGCCAAGAAGAAGGTGGCCGTGTATATATCTACTGTGGGCGTACTGAGGGCCTGAGTATATCCCCAGACCAGATCCTTGAGAATCCCTTCTCCGGGCCCGCTGGCTTTGGTTTTGCCATTCGTGGAGGCTCCGACATTGATGCCAATGGATATCCTGGTAAGGCAAGATCTGGCTGTGTAGCACCATCTGCTTGAATTAAGTAGGCATGCAAAGAAGCAGAAGTCTAAACTGGTCCCATTTTGCAAGCTTTCTTTGAATGATCAGGGCACACGAGGTCATGGAAAAGCCTTTCCTTTTGTATAAGGTTGTTTTTGCAAAGCTTAGGCCAGTTGCCAATCAAACCACTGCAGTGAGTCCCATGGGGGCTCTGAGAGGGCAGGTGGTAGGACATTGAAGACTTCATTTTGCTAGCACTTTTCATCTTGATTCCCTCACAGATGTGCTGGTTGGCGCTTACAGAGCAAGCAAAGTGGCTGTCTACAGGTGAGTGAATGCAGTGCCACAGACTGGACTTTGGGGCAGGAGTCGAAGGTCTCACAACCCTGGGAAGCCCAAATGACCATCCAGAGAGCAGCTTACCTCTTGAGGTGCTTCCAGACAAAGTTTTGATTGGGTAATCACCCTGCCTCAGTCACAGAATTTCACTGGGAGTCCACATGACATCACCATCTATTTGGGGTTCCCTTGTGTTTTTCAGCCATTTCTACCACCATTTTCTGTGCTGGTGGTGGGGAATCTTTTAAGAAAGAAATCTGGGATATCAGTGAATTAAGTAGGCATGCAAACCTGCCTTAAGATTGATAAGACAAGGGCTCCTGTCCTTGGAAGCACCCATAGTCTCACCTTTCTGTTTTTGTATTTTGTGTGTGGTGGTTGTACACCTCAGGGCTCAGCCGGTGGTGACAGTCAAAGCCCAGGTGCTCATGCCAGATGCACTGAATCCAGAGAATAAAACATGTACGGTGTCAGGACCAAAAGTCAGCTGGTAAGCTGGGTGGAATGGGTGCTTCTTTCACATTAATGCAAAAATTGATTCTGATCTTGCTTTGCCTGGGAAATGTGAGTATCATGCCCAGAATTAATTGGCATAGCAATGAAACCAACAAATCCAAATTGTAGGTCACATGCTGAATAGGAGTGATGTGGCTGCAAAAAGCCAAATGTTCTTTTGGGCTGCATTATGGAAAGTATCACTTCCAAATCATGTGTAGTTCTAGTTATGAGGTTATGCCTCATCTGAAGTATTGTGTCTCATTCTGGGCACCACAGTTTAAATAAGATGCAGACAAGCCTGGAAAGGTTTCAGAGGAGGGCAACAAGGATGATCCAGAGACAGGGTACAAAGTGCTATGGGGAGAGACTGAAAGAACTGGGCATATTTAGCCTCTAGGAGAGAAGACTGAGGGGAGAGATATGATAGCACCCTTAAGTACATGAAAGGTTGTTACAAAGCGGAGGGTCAGGGTCTCTTCCCAATCATCCCAGAGTGCAGGACACAGAATAATGGGCTCAAGCTACAAAAAGAACTTCCGGATTATTAGAGCAGTATGACACTGAAACCAATACCTAGAGAGGCTAAGGGTTCTCACACATTGGAAGCATTCAGGATGCAGTTGGAGAGCCATCTGAGAGAGATGGTTTAACTTGGAGTCCTGCACCGAGCAGAACTTGATGGCCTTCTTGGCCACTTCCAACTCTCCTTTTCTATGATTCTGTGATCTAAATAATATATAAACCTGGTACAGAGTTGAAAGAAGCTAATGCATTATGGCTTCCATACTCCAGAATCAAGGTCATCTGTCCATACAGTTAACACATTCTAAATTTCTCTTAAGATCCAGCTATGGGGTGGGGCAATTTGCTACATTACAACAACAACAACAGCAGCAACAACAACAACATTATTTCTATACATCCTAATAGCCAGAGGTCTTTTGTGGTTCCCAATGTTTCATGAAAACCACAAATACAGATAATGAAATACCATGTAAAATCTCAGTATATAAAATCTAATTATTCAAACGGTCAAGAAGGCATGTGTTCCTATGATATGTTATTTCACTTTCTGTCTTTGTTTTCACAGGAAGGCTTGATTAGTTAAACATGTACAGTTTTGATCTTTCCAAAAGTCTCCCACTTGCCTTCCTGGGATGCTTCCATCAAAACCCTTTTTCCAGCAAACATGGATTTTTGCAGGAAGTCCATAAGTTTTTGTCTTTTATTAGGTGCCACCCCATGTTTTCCCCCTGCTGCACACACACATTTTTTATTGTATTGTTAAAATAAATAAGATATAGAAAGGAAAATGGTATAAGAAAAGAAGTGAAATAAAATTGCCAAGGGATTTTAAACCAATATAAGTCCATCATGTATGCCATTGGCACTCACCTGTAAATAGAAAGGGTGAATGTGACCAGTACGTGCTTGCAAACATACAGTTACCAAGCTGCAAATGAACGGCTCTCATGTCCTACTTCCTACTTTTCCTTCTCCTCACTGCAGCTTCGTCATCAAGGTGTGCGTTGGTGTGTCAGGAAAGCGCATTCCACACAAGATTGGTGAGTATTGCCTTAGTTGCAGGGAAAGATGGAGGCAACGTAATTCATGTAGGTGCAGCCCTGAACAGGAGGAGGTGCTGGGGTGATGTCATATCTGATGTGAGAATGGCTAGTCCCTGTTTGCAGACTGTCAGAAAGGACTGTAAGGGAAGCACTGCCCACATTGCAGGCTTTCCTGCCCCCCGCTCCCCCTGTTTTGACAGGCCGTTTAAGTTTAAGTATATTCTCAGGCTGGTAGCACCAACAGCAGTAATTGTGTGTACTTTTTAATGTGACTGTCACAGGCATCTTTTAGATATTGCTCTCTTCTGTTCCCATGTCCAATGTACTTGTAATTCTAAAAATTATATTTTAACTCTATTAAAGGATGCCTTCTTATATCTAAATTAAGTTATTTGATTGTTTTAATTGTCATATTTTCATCTCACCTTTTCTCCAAGTAGCCCAAGGCAATGCACATGATCCTGGTCCTTTTCATTTTCACAAAGTGAGCTTCACGGCTAAGGGGGAACTAGATCGGTCTCCTGAGTCCCAGGTCTCACCAACTTTCTTAACATACCAGCATATTTATACTTTTAAGAAGAAGGAAAGGCTTCCTCTACCTCTGCCCCTTCTCTCAGTGCCTCACCATGTTATAGATTTGGTACTTGCTAAATGTTTCAAACTGCACTTCCAGAATTTAGAAAGCTTTTGGCTCTCAAATAACTATTGATAGCTGCTTTGCTTCTTACATCAAACCAGTATATTTTAAGTTAATTCAATTTTGGTTTTCATAGCAGCAACAATTAATAAGAGGAAAATCCTTGATCCATTTTTCATTTTTATTAGATGCATACTTGTAATATCACATCAAAATTCTAGCTGGGCCTCAGGCCTTTCTAGCCAAGGTGCTTGGGAACCTGAGGCCAACTACCCCCCCACCCCCAGGCCTCTCCTGTCTGCCCCCATCCCCACCCCCTGAAATGGATCCTTTCCTCATCCTCCTGGGCTGAGGCTCCAGCAGTATGTGGACCGAGAACTACCAGAAGTACAGGCAGGATTTCAAAGAGGGAGAGGAAGTAGAGATCAAATTGCCAACATACGCTGGATCATGGAGAAAGCTAGGGAGTTCCAGAAAAACATCTACTTCTGCTTCATTGACTGTGCTAAAGCCTTTGATTGTGTGGATCACAACCAATTGTGGCAAGTTCTTAAAGAGATGGGAGTACCAGACCATCTTATTTGTCTCTTGAGAAACCTATATGCAGGTCAAGAGGCAACAGTGAGAACTGGGCACGGAACCACTGATTGGTTCAAAATTGAGAAAGGATTTCGGCAAGGCTGTATACTATCGCCCTGCCTATTTAACTTATATGCAGAGCACATCATGAGAAAGGCGGGGCTGGATGAATCACCAGTTGGAATTAAGATTGCTGGGAGAAATATCAACAACCTCAGATATGCAGATGATACCACTCTCATGGCAGAAAGTGAAGAGGAGCTAAAGAGCCTCTTGATGCAGGTGAAGGAGGAAAGTGCAAAAGTTTGCTTGAAACTCAGCATCAAGAAAACTAAGATCATGGCATCCGGTCCTCTCACTTCCTGGCAAATAGATGGAGAACAAATGGAGGTAGTGACAGATTTTATTTTCCTGGGCTCCAAGATCACCCCAAACGGGGACTGCAGCCAAGAAATTAAAAGACGCTTGCTCCTGGGGAGGAAAGCTATGGCAAATCTAGACAGCATGCTAAAAAGCAGAGACATCACCCTGCCAACAAAAGTGTGTATACTCAAGGCTATGGTTTTCCCAGTCGCAATGTATGGCTGTGAAAGCTGGACCATAAGGAAGGCTGAGCGCCAAAGGATTGAGGCCTTTGAATTGTGGTTCTGGCGGAGACTCCTGAGAGTCCCTTGGACAGCAAGGCGATCAAACTGGTCAGTCCAAGAGGAGATCAATCCTGTCTGCTCTTTAGAAGGCCAGATCCTGAAGATGAAACTCAAGTACTTTGGCCACCTAATGAGAAGGAAGGACTCCCTGGAGAAGAGCCTAATGCTGGGAACAATAGATGGCAAAAGAAGAAGGGGACGGCAAAGAATGTGGTGGCTAGATGGAGTCACTGAAGCAGTTGGCATGAGCTTAAGTGGACTTCAGGGGATGGTGGAGGACAGGAAGGCCTGGAGGAATGTTGTCCATGGGGTCGCTATGGGTCGGACACGACTTTGCGACTAACAACAAAATAACCTTTGGACGCTGCCCAAGATGGCTCCCTCCACCAACAGTTTTTCTGGTATCTGTATATTAACCTTTTCAACTTTACACAACATTTTTTGCTCACCAATAGGTGAAAAGTTTCAGTTCATTTTTGACAGGAAATCATAGCGCATAATATCTGTTCCTTATTCAAATAAACCCATATCAAAAGCGATGGGGCTTTGACTTGGTGACTGGGTTCACATTGCAGGAGAGTTCATCGTGGCTTTTCCACCATCGTGTCAGATGTACTTGGGATGGTTTGGTTTTGACTTATAAGTCACCATGACAGCCTTGTAGCCGGGGTAGTTCAGCACACCATGGGTTGTCATGTAATTTCCCCATTCTCTGGCTCAATCTGTTTTCACCCTGACTTTTATTGTTTAAATTTGGTGGCAGGGCTGTTTTTTTTTAATCCCCAATGGGGCATCTGTGAGGTATTGCTCCAAGGACCCATTAAGGTACCTTGGAGGGGGCGGTACACCCTTTTCTTTAAAACATTGTTATGGCAATGTGTTATGGCAACTGTTCTTGCCCAGTTTTATAATTCAGACTGGGTAAGCATAAGCAGTCTCCAGGATAGTTACTGGTTGTGGGGGATGCTTGCTGACCAAGTTCAGCAAGTGTCCGTCCTGTACCATGCCTAGTGCAAGCTGCAGGTAAAGTATCCCCCCACCTTTTGTGAGCTTCTGACAGGTTGGATATAACCCCTCCTATGAGAAACCTAGCAAGCCCTGGGAGAATGTGCTTTATGAAAGGGTCTTGTTCCCCCTTTTCACAGCATGATCCTTGGCTTTCTTTGTGGAAGACCAGGTGTCCCTACTGCCCCCCCTGCCCCCCCCCGGTTTGAAAAGTCATCCAGATGTCAGCATTGGGGGAACATTGAAGCCCAGAAAGGATTTTTCCTGACAAGAACTCTGAGTTTGACATGTCAAGCCCAGAACGCTAATTTTAAAGTAGGCTTGGAAGGGCTTAGCAATTTCTTTTTTGATAGAACTGTATGTAGAAATATGACCGTAGAGACCCATATATTTATCTGCCAAAACAGAACACTTTAACCCCTTCCACATCCCACTTTATAAAAAGGACTTTGAACTTGACAGCTCAGACAAGATGATCTCTCAGAGGTCTTCATTTTGGCACCAGATGGGCAAGATTTTGGTATGGGTTGGCATTCCACTGAATGCTATGATCTTACTAATGCTATGGATTATGCTTCCTTTTCATCGCTATCCTTTTTATTGCCTTCTGCCAAAACCCTTGCTCTCTCCTAGACCTGCATGCAGAACTGCAACTGGACCGCATGAAGCAGAAATTTGGACGGCGAGTTTTCTTTCTAGAAACCAGCCAATCAAGTAGGACTCTGTTGCTGGAACTGACACGAAATATCCCTCAGACTTGCAAGAATTTCACTGCCTACCTGCGGGTATGAAACACGGGCAAAGCAGAAAACTGTGTGCATTTGAGAGAGGGAGGGGCATTAATCCAGCTCTGGACATTTCAGTCCCAGACACACAGAGAAAGAATGACGACAGATGCCTGTCTGTGTTTGTGCCAAGTCCATTTCCCCTTCCCCTTTCCTGCATTGTGGGATCAACCACAACCCACCTGTATAAGTCAAACTTGAAGGCAGAAGTGGCCTCAGAACCTTCACTTCTCATTGGACAGGTCTGGTTTGAGGACAGAAAAATTCCTTTTGCCAAGGATGATCTTTCTGTCACCTCACCGCTATGGAACATGGTTGCCATCTTTTCTTCTGGTAGCCCTCCTGTGCACATTTTATTGCTGGGAGTGAGGCAGAAATCCAACAGCTTGTGCAGCTCCATGCATGGCGCCTACCATACAGATATTGAAGTCATACCAGGACGAAAAGAAAGAACTTGGAAGTGCACTTGAAGGATTTGTGCTGTTACATTATTAATTTTGTTGGTCTGATTGCTTCAGAATAAGCAAGGTTAGTTTTGTCAGTGGAAGTTCTTCCTAGAAAGGCAATTTACCTACATGGTGAAGATTTGGAATTTTTGCTTTGCTGGGGCACGATGTGTATGTAAAAAATAAGTCACCCTATCTCAGTTTGAATTTGAGGCAGGCAGAGGCTCAAAGCAGTAACTTTATTTATTTATTTACATTTTGGATTTATATCCTGCCTTTTTCCTACAAAGGGCTCAAGGCAGCTTACATCTCCTCCTCCATCTTATCCCCACAACAACAACCCTGTGAGGTAGGTTGGGCTGAGAGTCTGTGACTGGCCCAAAGTCACCAGGTTGGCTCCATGGCCGAGCAGGGACTAGAACCCAGGTCATCTGAATCCCAGTCCCATGCTCTTAACCACTACATCACACTGGCTCTCTCTCTTTAGTTGGGTTGGATGTAGTCTGGATTAATTGCAAGGGCTTAAGCAGTTGCTCTCTGGAAATCTCATGCAAACTAAGTGATTATGATTCCTACAGAAGAAGTGTCCTTGCCTTCATTCTATTGAGCCTGATTATTTGGAAATAAGTGTTGCAACAAGAACATCCTAGGCTGGAATCATAGTAGATCGGGTAGATTAGGACCTGGTAAATGGGGATTTGTTGGTAAATCTCTGTGATTTAGATCCACCAACCAAACTCTGCTGCAAATGATGCGTAATTCAAATTAAAGAACCCTGAGCCTAGGAATGTGTTTGTTTTGGATGCACAACTGAATTGAACTCACAGTCCTTCATTCAAAAGCCCATTCTTCTACATGAAGGCAGGAGATAAATTCCAAAATATATTTCACCAAATAACTGAGTGGAGAAGGCAGCTTGGCTATCTCTGTTGACATCAAGCTAGGGCAACAGAGATGGCAACTGGCAAGAGGGTGCCGGGAGAGTAGTCCAGGTGTGGACTTTAATTGTTGCCCCTTTTTATTCCGGCAGCTTGCCCTCTTGGTAAGCAATGAGACATGCAGAAACTCAGCCAGTGCTGTGTTCTCCATTGCTGGATCTGGGAAAGTAATTTCTCCCCAGCCCACCCTAGCCTTGTGCCTTCCAGATGTAAGGGATCACAACTCCCATCATGCTGACTAGGAAGACTGAGTAGTAATCCAATATAACCGGAGGACCCCAGGTTGTGTGAGACTGCCTCAGAAGATTTCTGAGATGTTTTTCTATTCCCACAGAATGAGACTGAATTCAAGGACAAACTTAGCCCCATTGTTGTGAGTCTCAGTTCCAGTTTGTCATCCACCTCTGAAGTAGATGAACTGAAGACTGTGCTGTATGGCCAAACAATGGTCCAGGAGCAGGTAAGATCCCCACATCTGCACCAAGGTACCTATGGTGGCACTGGCCACTCCTTCCTAGTACCTTATTTATGGGGAAATTCAGAATTGTTGGGAGTTGTGGTTTCAGTGTGACTTTCAGGTTCAGACAGCTTTATGCCTTATGTATTTATTTATATGCTTCCTTTCCACATATGTCACCAAGGCAGCAAACAATCATGGAAAGAAAAGCAGCACACCATCTTGTGCCCAAAGCAAGCACCAGACTGGATGCCATTTAACTTTTGGGGGTCTAAGTGAAACATTTTAAGCAGAATCATTGTTTATTTTAAATAGACAGTCCCATAGTTATGGTGATGTAGGATATGGAGTGGTTGAAAGCTTGTTCTGGGGTACAGGGGGTTATAAACTTTAGATCTATATACAGTCTATAGAGTTCCATTTCAAATGTTAATACAAATAAGGAACTGGGAACTAGTAACTAACTTCAGCATCACTCAAAAGGAGTACCACATGATCCATTTAATTCTGCTGATTTTTAAAACCACATTTATATTGTAGTATTTTGATATTCTTGTTTTTCATTTTTTAGTCTTAACAATCTTTGCAAATTGCCCTGAGAACCTTTGAAGGGTCAGGACTAAAGACAGACAGACAATTTTGAATTATCCCTTAGCCAGGTGCTAAGTACATTAAGAGAGCTTCAAGCTACTGAAGTAGAAGCCCAAATTCCAAATTCCAAGAGTCTGAGGCAGTAGAAACATACCAGTTGATACAGGACACATCCTCTGCACATGCTCAGAGTCCATTCTCCTTCATAATCTTGAGAACATCCCTGGCTTTGAAAGTGCTACAACTAGACCGCATAAAGCAGCAGATGGGGGCACGGAATTGGAGAATAGTACTGACGTTTAGATTCCCCAGATTCCATTCCCTCAGTGTTCTCAGCTAAGGAGGCTATTAGAGAGAAAGGCAGGAAAATGTATTTTTAAACCTCTTTGATTTTCTGTCTGCACTAGGTAGGCTCTTGCAATCTTTTATATTAACCATGAACACCTCACACCCAACTGCACTGGAGTTGATTGCACAGTGCTACAGTGCATTACAATCTTCCATATAGCCTGAAGTGCCTGATCCTACCTAATCTTGGAAGTGAAACAGGGTCAGACTCCACTGAAATTTGGATGGGTGAAATCTGGTTGTACACCCAATCATAGTTTTGCATATATGTTCCAACTCATAGACCCGAATTGCTCTGGATTGCGGTGAAGATAATATCTGCACCCCGGACCTCAGTCTCTCTGCTCGCATGTAAGTACCTGCTCCTAGTTGCATGACCAGCTTTCTCTTTTTGACTCATAGGAGTACTGGGCCTGGCGAACTAATCTAGGGCTGTTATTCAGAATGAGAGGATCCAGTTTTCATACCTCTCTTGCCACTGGACTCCTAGCTTTTTAGATCCCAGAAGTTGGGTCCAACTGTAGTTGCTTGGGGTGAGAGACCAAAATGCTGTACAGATGTATTCTCCTCCACATAAAATGTTCCAGGTACATATGCTGCAAATGCACAGTGGCTCTTCGCACAGGATAGCTAAATCTAAAGCTGACCCATTATTGTTATTAGACGAGGTCAGCGAGATGGATCCTGATAGCACACATCAGATGCACTGCCAGAACTAACCGGACATTTGCACAGAAATACGTGGCTAATTGCAGTGAGAGATAAAGCTAGCCTGTGGTGGTGTGGCTTAGCCTATGATTTGGATCCTCTTAGCGTTCTGTTGCCTTTATACAGTTTCTCTTTTTATTATATTCTTGGTAACTGTCATAGGTTTTTGTTTGAGATCATTAAATATAATTTGAGTCTTTTACGCAAAGTATATCTAGAGACAATAATTCTTCTCCTTCCCCTTTTCCATAGAATTTAAGAGAGCAGGTTGTCCTATATATTTTAAAAAAGGAGGAGGCTGCGCAGTCACAAAGAATCATGAATGTGGAGAGGACATGTGACTGGAGAGGTTCAGTTCTGTGCCCTGTACCACATTCTGCATTTGCCCTGTAGTAATGCAGAATTAACTTGGATCTAGAAGATGACTTTCACCCAACAATTTTGACTTGGGATCCGCTGCTGCACCTTTTCTGACATTGCACTATTCCATTTCCTGACAGAGAGCAAAAAGCTATTTTAATTTTGGCTCTGTCTTTTCTCTGCATCCTCGTTTCTCAGGACTGAAGACTTCCTGCTTATTGGGGCTGAGAATGTGGTTCATATCCAAGCAACGGCAGTGAATGCCGGCGAAGGGGCCTACGAGGCTGAGTTAGTGCTGGAGCTCCCATATGGGGCTTACTTCCAAAGAGCTAACAGCAGTGCACAGGTGAGGGCCTTGAATCCATGACCAGGCATTGCCAGCACAGTTGCTTTGTTGTAACCTCTGCCGCCTTGTTGAATCAACCCAGTTAGAGTAGATATTTTCATCTCGTTCAATGCTTTCGTCTATAGCAGCTCAGGTTTATCAAAGTTTCTCTTATTTCAGTTGCAAAACAGCACAAGGTCTGTGCTCTTGCACTCTCAAAGCATTAAATCTACTTTCTCTGACTAGCTGCTCTCTAGAAATGTTAGACTACAATTTCCATAATGGCCCAGCCAATGTGCCCAGTGCTGGCTGGGGATGGTGGAGGTTGCACTCCATCACATCTGAAAGGCTCTAAGTTTGGGAAGCTTGTACTAAACAGTGAAAACTGTGCCTCATCTTCTGAATACCACAACACCTGTGACAAGGATTGTGTAGCTAGAAAATGTACTTGGAGCCTCTTGCTGTAGCTCCGGGTGAAGCTGAATGCTCCAATCAGTGGCTCTGGAGCAACTGTTCCAACTGCACCCTTAAGAAGAGGACTGCCAGCATATTTCTTTGTGTCACTTGTTCACATCCCAACCTCCTTGTTTACTCACTTGTGCGCTCTGTTGTTCTGTCACTGCCAGAACTTAATCTGCACTTTCCAAAAGGAGAACGAGACTCATGTGGTGTTTTGTGAAGTGGGCAACCCTATGAAAGCCAACACAGAGGTAAGTGGCTAATTTCAAGGGGAGCTCAGTCTCGAGTTTGCTCTGGAAGGGCCATCTCTCCCATTAGAATGAGGATGATTGTGGACGTCATGAAAGGACAGCAAGAAAAGGGCAAAGGTAGCTGTGTTGACCAGAAGAAAATGTCCAGAATCCATGTCCTTCCAATGTCTTCATTAGGATAGCCAAAAGCTCTTTCCCCACCATCTGAACACTTTCTAGATTCCCAACAAAGATATTATAACAGGCAGGAGGGGATGGATGGTGATGGGTCGATGGGAACTAGATGATGAGTTCTGCAAGTTGGTCTACCTGCTGCCTGCAGTTCAAGCTTGTCCTAAGCTGTGTGACTTTTCTGGAATTTTTCTCCTGAACCTTTGTAGGATCAAAATTATGTCTCCATTCACATTTTTTCTTGCCTGCCTCTTGGGCTATATAAGGAGAGCTTTGGGTTTGGAGTGGCAAGGTGAGGATGAAACTGAGAAGGCGTGGCCACGTAACTCGCAATACACCAGGGATGCTGACCTCACCACCACTCCCTCCAGCACTTCATGGAAAATAGCAGAATGGGGCAAATACTTTAGTGGATGCCACGAGTTTCATTTCAGAACTGGAAAAAATATTGCATTTTCCACACCAAAAAATCGACAGGAAAAATGTTTGGAAAGTAGGAAGGACACTAAAGGTTGACATTGTCATCTAAAATATATGTAAACTACCCTAATTTAAGAATGATGAGTGCACAAGAAAAGCTTTTTTTCTAGAAAAGTGTGTAGAGTAGAAAGTGGAGTCTGCAGATTAGCGAATTCTGTGAAGATTACAGGAAGGTCCCACTCTCCCTGTTATGCAGAGGAGGGGGGCTAGAGGAGAGCTTTGCGAAAACTCCAGACCAATGGAAAGATGATCAAGTGGGTCCTGGATAGGGTGGGGACAAAACTCAGCAGAATCCATCCCTCTAGGATTTGCAGCCTTCCTCTTATGCTCAGCCTGGTCTTAGAAAGCAAGAGAAGTCCGTGAATGCTCACAAACCAGTTTGCACAACTGGCAGCCTTCTTCCGCCACAGGTACATCAGCACAAACAAGGGCTGTTGCACATGGCATGGAAAAGAGACACAGCTTGTGCATTGATGCTACTGATGGGTCCCAGGTTCATAATCTGCAATGTTCTTAATATCCAAAATGACCTCCAAAATCTCTGTCCTGGGAAAAAGAAAATTAATAAGCTTAGAGACACATCCCTGGTATTGATCGTCCATTCATGGGACTATCTCGCTGCATCTGTATAGTGTCAGATGTCATTTGAGGAAGAATTTATACTGGCTTAATTTTAGATTCATGCATACCATGATCTTCAGCACCACTTTTGAAGCTCAAGCACAGGGAGGGAATATAACTGAGATCCTTTCTTTTCTGAACAGATGGGCATATTATTTTCTTCTATTAGGTGAATTTCATCCCCTGGCATTCACTGGAAATATTTTTATATTTTCCATTACAAAAGCTAATAGAAAAAAGAAAAGCTAAGACAAAATTAAGCAGAGAAGGAACCAAAGCTGGCAAATAAACCTTTGCTTCTATGCCATGAATGTGGCTCTGCAGGAGATGTTTTAATAACCTCAACTAGCTGTTGGCCATTATCTGTTGATTATCTAGTGCTCACTGATAAAAGCATTCAGGCAAAAGGGTGTACATCTGTTATGTCATTGATGAAGAAATTGTCAAGAATTTAAAGTCTGCATTACTACTTCAATTCCCATGCCTTCTTCTCTTAAGGGAATGACCAGTCTAAAACTTTTTAAAATATCTGCCTTGAATCTGTAACCAGTGAACTCAATAAATATGAGTATATTTCATGGGAAGTTTTTAATTTTAGCAAATATTGAATTAATTCTGAAAGCTTCAAGTCATGCCACACCTTCATGATCCAGACCTAAAAGGGCCTTTAGGTGTTTTTCCAATCTTGAATTTTAAATTATGGCCCTGTATTTCTAAATCTAATTCCTCAATCCTATCTTTCATTTACTAGCATAAACATGATATGTAGTATAGCATCTAAACTTATCCCTTGGTTTACTAATATAGAGACTGCCTAATTTCTCTGTAAATCACTGGCAAGTTGTCCTCATGGCTTTGACCAAGATGAAAGCCACTGTTGAGAATCATTGTACTGAATTCCCCAAAATCAAGCCACTGCTTTTGTCCACATCCGCCTTCTCAGTCTATGCAAGGGCCGCAGGACTTTCCTGTAACCAGCCTGTGACCTGCAGACTCCTCCTCCCATGGCCTTCCTGGCTCATCATGCCAGAGGAGAGAACTGCGTGCGCCCACAGAGCAGTGGCCAAAATCCAAGGCCCAGCAGCTCTGGCTCCTGTCCAAGCGGCCACCCAGAAAACAGTGACATCAGCGTCTGGGCCTCCATGGCATGCTAGGGCTTACCAGAGCTGGCACTGCATTCCCACGGCAGCTGGATGAGTGTGCGTTTGGTGACAGATGCACATGTTATTCTTTAAAAAAATAATTACAATTTATCCTTGGATTTTTTTTAATTTTATTTTTGCTTAACTGTGCTGGGTTTTAACACACATTTCTGTTGTACAGTGACTCATAATTGTTTATATTCCTCATTATTTGACATAACCTTAATCTTGCTACAGTATTCCTGACAAATCATAGGGCTCTACCTTCCCCTGTACTTTATTATTCCATACATAACCAAAATAGACCACTCTATTCAATTAAACTTTTGTTTCCCTGTCTACCCTCTCTAATTCTAAAACTGTTTGTGAGTTTCAGCATTAACATCAGCTCCCAAACTCATCTTTATTATCAAAGCAAGGATAATGGAAACAGCCAGATACCTGTCAAAAACGGAATCTCCACTGAATCCCCTTTCTGGGCTAGTAGACTTTCTCTCAGCTAACCTCAATCAGAATATGACCTAAACTCCTTCCAGATGGAGGGATCTGAGTGCCAACATTCAAAAGGCACTGTGCCACTATTCAGTCCTTAATGGATTTTCTGTAGTATGAAGAGAGAAGACATTATAGAAAAATGTGGGAGAATTACAAGTGGATGAAGATGATATGTGGACTTCTAAATTTGCTGACAATTTTGGTGACAAAGTCTGTTTAAAGGCTTGCAATCATTAAGGATGATTAAACCCTTTTGCCAATTTTCAGGTGCCAAGCTCAGGAGCACCGGAGTGGTACACCTGTTCAAGATAATGCAAACACTCAACCATGCCCACATGCATTGCTGGGCTTAGGTCTGAGCCAGCTGCAGCAGTTACTCTGCCATTGTTTATTTACCTATTTGCTTTTTACAATTCTGTCCCTTCTTTTGATAGAGAACATCCTTGGGGTGACTTATATAGGATAACACAGTACATTTATGTTGGGGCTCCCTTGGTTTCCTCATGGCATTGCTTTAGACACCTTATCCTCTCCACTTTTGCTTGCAAAGGACAAAGACGGAGAAGCCAAGTGTACTAGCTAGGCTCAGGTAAGGTACTGGACTGGTCTGCATGATCACAGGGCAGTTAACAAGCCACCATGGCCATCCACAACTCTACGATAGCTCATGGCTTCAGGGTGGCTTGCTACCTGCCACAAAAAGCCATTCTTACCAGGTTCAGACAACGTGAGAATCCATGCTGGTGACGGTAATTATGCAAATCCAGCCAGAATACATAGTGGTTAACAAGTGTGTTAACCAGCCAGCAAGCGTGCAAACTAGCCTGTGAGAGATGTAGTGCCAGGATAGCCATTGGTACCAAAGAGCACCCAGGACTGGCAGCAGGTGTGTCCCTGTGCTCTCTGAATTGCTGGGTCTTCCAAGGCCTGCATCAGCTCTGCCCCCGTGGTGCACTGTGAGTGTTCCCACTTCTCTCCCTGCCCCTTCCCACTTTTACAGATCAAGATAGAAGTGGAACTAAGTGTGAGTCACCTGGAAGAGGTTGATATTGTCATCTTCCTGCTGCAGTTGAAGAGGTAACATCCAACCACACCCTAAAACATAGCCTGAAGTGCTAAACGCAGACTCCTTTCTCAGGGCACAAGTGGGAAACATGGACCCTCCAGATGTTGTTGGGCTCCAGCTCCATCCCTGACAAATGACCATGTTGCTTGAGACTGATGGGAGTTCCTTTCTAACAACAATTGTAGAACCACAAGTTCCCCATCCCTGCTGTAAGGGTATTCCCTTCCCACCCCCAAGAAAGAAGGAAGGAAGAAAGGAAAGTGAGAGATGTCTTATGTACTGAGTCCTCCTTCTTGTAAGGAGTCCTATGCCTTTAAACTACTGCAAGACAAAAATTCAGGCATAGCATTCCCCATCACCGCACTTTCATGCCACATCATTATTTTCTGTTGCAAGTGCTGAACCCCTACATTCCAGGCCTGGCTCAAATGCAAACTCTCTTCTAGTCACCAGACAATAACTTCAAATTTCTTCTCCAGCAAGAATAGCCACAACCCCAACAGCAATGTGGCACAGTTGCTGGTGGCAGTCAAGGCCGATGCAAAGATGGAGCTCCTAGGGTGAGTAAAAGCCACAGTTGTCATGGGCTGAAAAACCTTTCCCAGCCTCCCTCCTCACCCGCTGTACTTTCTGCAGGCACAGAGTGTCTTTACTGGAGGGAGCACTAGGCCCATATGCAGAGTCTGACACAGTGATGGCGCTTGATTCGGCTGGTCTTAGAAAGCAGGTTCGATTGCTGTGACCTTGCGATCAACAGTATTGGTAGCACACTTGAAATAATGGGGAAGAAACACATTCCCCTCAGGCATATAGCTCCTCATGCCAGAAAAAACCTGGCATGGGGTTGATACTGTTGACATACTTCTGAGCTGATGGTGCAGTGGGGGTATGGCAGTCATTTTCCACAGGTTTGCTTAAACTATTTGTCCAAACTTGGACTGGGACATGGGTGGCTGATGGGGGCAGGCAGAACTCCGGGACCAGGGCGCTGGCACAAGGTGGGGCTCTGTAGGTCTGTATGGCCAGAGGCTGGCAGCGTGGTCAATAGTCTGAGATCGGAAACAAGATAGCAGGCAGTCCAGTATAGTGGGAGACAGAGAGAGAAACACCACATCCAGAAAGAGTCCAGGGGACACATGCTGGGGGGGGGAGCGGGGGGGCGGTCATGACAAAGTGGTCTAGGTTGAGGAGGGAGGCTGCAGGGACAGTGGGCTGGAGCATAGCAGGAGTGACGCAGGGACAATCTGGAACAAGGCTGCATCTGACCAGGGCAAGGGAGGAACAGCTGGAGCAGGGCTGGAGCAAGGCAGGAGCGAGGTTCGCAGCATGGTGATGCAGAGGGCCAGAGCACAAGGGAGTCACAGAGACAACGGGCATTGCTTTTGTGTTGGTTTCCAGGGCCCAGCTGCACCGCATGGTTGCCTCTTGGCACTCCCCTGCAAGTGCTCCCTTGCAGGGCTAGCCAGTTCCTGGCCCTGACATCATGTCCTGCATAGTGCAATTGGCACAAATCATGGCTAACTACTGAATTTGCACCTTTGTTTTTGTTCTTGTTGTTAAGAACAAGACTAGACTAGATGTATGGAAACATCCTCACACCGTCTACTATGGCCACCTTGAATTTTTCCGGTGGTTAATTTCAGATTTGTGCAAAACTCAGGTGGCAAGTGCAAATAATGCAATTTTTGTCAATCTGTGCAAATTGTAGAGCAGAGGCCTGAATTTTGCACAACTTTTCCCAGCTTTTTTCATGCCCATCTTAAAAATGGAAGTCTTCATGCTGGCTCAACTCATGCTGGATCAAATTGACAACACCACAAGGTTAACAGAGTGGAATCTGTGAGACCAACCCCAGAAAATCAATTGAATTTCCGCCTCCCTCAAACATCCTCCATAGCTATGCCCCATGGCAGGATGGATAGTGAGTGCCTCAGCTCTTGTCTGCTTTATGCCCTGCTCCCAGGACTTCTGTGCCAGCCGCCATTGTGCACCCACTAGTCACTGGAGACCATAAGTACAACAGCTCGCAAGTAGATGACTATGGACCACAAGTAGAACACATCTATCAGGTAAAAATGATCACAGATTGGAATTAAATATATGGGGGAGACCTGGACCCATTGCCGATACTTTTCCGCCACTGCTGACCCTTTTTCTTTCCCTGTCCCTCTCCCAACCCACTTCTAGTTGCGAAACACAGGCCCCAGCACTGTGTCGGGGGCTGAGCTTACTGTGGATTTTCCCAACACCTTCCGGGGAGGCTTCTTGCTTTATATCACAAGGGTGAGCACAGAAGGCAACATCACCTGCTTCCCCACAAATGCAACCAACCCTCTGAGGGTAAGTAGGGGGTGACATCTGGGAAGGGGAAAGGAAAGGGGCACATGCTTTGCCTGCACTCATGTCTGCTTTGGCCCGACTCTGCCCATTCTTCCTTGCTCTTCCTTGGCCCTTCCTCCTAACAGTGTCGTCTCTCTCTCTCTCTCTCCCCCCCCTCTCTCTCCCTCCCCCCCCCCTCTTCCAAACCTCTCTTCACTGAAATCTTGCCTCAATTCATGCAGAAGCTAAGCCTAAATTCAAGTGACTGCACTGGCACCCGTTCTTCTGTCATGTGGCCCTTACCTCTGTCTCCCCATCACCTTTCTTCTCTCTGTTGCAACACCCCCTTTGATACAATGGACACAACTTACAGAGGTAAAAATGCAGAACCTCGGTCCTCATACTAAACAGTTGCCACTTGGCGTCATCCCGGAGTGCCTCCAGACAGAGGACTCCTAGCAGTGGCAACCAGAAGGCATTGCTTCGCTGTCCATCTCTTCTTCCACAATGGATTTCTAAGAAAAAAGAGAGAAGGGACTGTGGGAAAGCATATGATGGCTATGAGTAGAGGATGACATAGGCTGGACCTGCCCACGAACACCTCCGATGTGGCAGGGATGGTACCATAAAAGCCTCATCTGAAAGCCCCCCAGTAGAAGGACTATAACACACTTTTTTCTACGTGAGACATTTTATCACCTGCTCTTCATTCCCCCTCCCCCTCCCCCTCCC